CTTTCCTATATATATATATATATATATATATATATATATATATATTATATATTTATATATAATATATATATATAGTATATATAGGTTAAAGAGTGAAATCTAAAGGTGAACACCCTAGGCTTCCCACCTAAGGACGCGGTCCTAAAATCATATCATTTTCCTATTTTTTACGGATCCCGCTCGCGTTGAACTTGATATTCACGTTCTTTAAACCCAACACACCCCATTTTGGGTGAACCCGTCGTGTTTTGCCCATATTATCCACATCGCGCTTGTAATTTATACGGTTTCGTAAATGAATTAGAACTTTTTGCACGACTCCACGAATGATTTAAAACACGACGGGTTCACCCCAAAATTGTATTTGGTTTAAGAATCGTGTAGATCAAGTTTAAGGCGGAGCGGATCGCAAAAAAAAAAAAGGAATGATGTGATTCTAGCCGCGCGTCCTTAGGTGGGAGCCTAGGGTGTCACCTTAGATTCACTTTTTCCATATATAAGTATTCACTTTTCATATATAATATTATATATATATATATATATTTCTATATATATATATTTAGATATATAATATATATATATATATAAATATAGTATATAACAAAGTGAATATATATGGATTAATAAGTGAATCTAAGGTGACACCCTAGGCTCGCCACCTAAGGTACGGGCGGCCTAGATATATATAGTATAGTATATGAAAAAGTGAGATATTATATTATGTGGAAAAAGGAATCTAAGGTGACACCCTAGGCTCCCACCTAAGCGCGGCGGCCTAGAATCACAGTCATTTTGCTTTTTTTTTTTAAGATCCAGCTCCGTCTAACTTGAAATCTACCCACCGTTCTAAACCAAATAATCACAATTTGGGGTAAGCGCCGTCGTTGTTTGACACCTTTATCGCACTCGCTCAGATTTAAAGATTTGAATGAATATATACTTTTGGCGCGGCTCAAACGAATGGCAAAACACAACGGGTTACCCAAAATTGTGGTGTTTAGTTTAAGAACGTGTAGATCAAGTTAGCAACGGAACAGATCGCAAAAAAAACGGAAATGTGTGATTCTAGGCTGCCGTCTTAGGTGGGAGCCTAGTGTGTCACCTATGATTCATTTTCCATATATATATATATATATATATCTATATATATATATATATATATATATATAGGAAAAATTGAATCTAAGGTGACAGCACTAGGCCTCCCACCTAAGGATCGGGCTAAAATCACATCATTTTCCTAAATTTTTTTTTGCGATCCGCTCCGATTGACTTTATCTACACGTTCTCAACCAAAACACACCAAATTTGGGGTGAACCCGTCGTGTCTTTGCACCCTTTATCCACTCGCTAGTATGTTAACGTTTCGAATGGAATAGAAACTTTTTACAACGGCTTAAGCGAATGGTCAAAACAGCAACCGGGTTCACCCAAAATTGTGTGTTTTGGGTTTTTAGAACGTGTAGATCAAGTTTCAACGGAGGCGGTCGTTGAAATTTTTTTTAGAAAATGATTATGTTTTAGCCGCATCCTTAAGGTGGGAGCCTAAGGGTGTCACGCTTAGAATTCACTTTTCCATATATGATTATATATGATACTTTTTTAATTTATAGTATATATATATAGCCCCAAACCCATAATAACACGGCCCATATTGGCACTATTCTCAATCAATAAACCCCATTTACCACAACCACACACGGTACATTTTCAATTAGGAAATTCGGCGATAAGAATTTTTAATTGAATACCACACACACCATTGTACTCTCACATATCTCTCGCTCAGCGCACACGACACACACAAACACAACTTTTCCTGGCGGAACCGTACTCGTGTACCGTGGGGCTTAATCTGTGTTTAAGATCTGATGTGCTCTGTTTTCTGAACGTGGCACGGGAAATTACCTCTAAAAACCAACCTTCCAACAGCCTCAAGGCGCTCGTCTCACCGGGTAACCTCCGCGTCCAGCAGAACGTGATCGTCGCTCATTTGGGTCTGGCTCGAGATGTCCGCGCCCGACCACCCCTAGTCAAGCTCAGAAACGTCGAAACTTTCGGGACTGCTTCAAATGCTCAAAACCCCATCAGCAGAGACCGTCAGAGAGATGATTCGATCGAACATTATGAAATTAAGACTTCCAGCAAGGAGCCGAATCGCTGCTTGGTACTTGGCCGTACAACTTTTACCAGCCAAATTGACATCCGCCACTCTCAATTGTGAGAAAAACCTAGTGGGTTAATCTCTTGACATGCCATTGGAGGTTTTTTCAGATCAATGTGGTGAGATTGGGAACTGGGTTAAGTCTGAAGTCGAAGAATCACAGTGAAGTTGTTGTCGAAACGGGAGAGTTTTTGAAAGGGATTGGAGGTTGAGGAGGCTGCGACTGGCTTGCCCGGAGAGGCCGAGGGAGGAGATGAGAGATTTCGCGACTTCGGCGCAGAAGTCCAGCGGTGCGCATTTGGATGTTGGCCCAGTTGCAGGGGTCGTTCCGGAGTCTTGGGTCCATCGAGGAGAGAGCTGAGGTTGGGTCTAAGAAGATGAGGACTTGAAGAGCATGGGCTGAGGACGTCCAGGGTTTAATGGGAGGGGGGTTTATGAGAGAGAAAGGACGAGCCACATCAGGCATCTTTAAATCACAGATTAACCCCAACGTGCATGCACCGTGAATGACGTTTCGCCGGAAAGTGGGCCGACAGAAAAGGACCTACAATGGTAATTTACTTCAATTAAAAAATGTCTTATGCCGAATTTCCTAATTAAATACCTTGTTGGCGAAATGGGGTTGAATTAACCTACGGGAATATCGGGTATTAGGCCCTAATTATATATATATATATATATATAATATATATTATATATATATATATATATATATATATATATATATATATATGAGAAAAAAATGAGAGAAGCGTACTAAGTTGCTCCACAACAACTTGGTAGCTCGATCGTGGCATAAATCTTGTCACTACATCTACATTGGGTTGGTGAAAAGGGTTGAGGCTCTATTTTCGAGGTGTGATGTAGGGCAAGATTAGGCCACATCACTACCAAGTTGCTTTAAGCAACTTGGTACCAATGTTCTCCATATTTCTCTCTCTCTCTCTCTCTCTCTCTCTCTCTATAATATATATATAATAAATATATATATAATAATATATATATATATAGTATATATATATATATGTGTGTGTGTGTGTGTGTGGTGTGTGTGTGTGTGTGGAAAAATGGGTATGCTTGGTACCAAGCATAAATTTTATGCTTGTAGTGATGTGTCACATCTCATCCACTTCACTACCCATGTGAATATGGTCCCATATTTGAATGAGTGGAGGAGATGTGACACATCACTACCAAGCATAACTTTTTGTGCTTAGTACCAAGCATACCCATTTGCTCGTACATATATATATATATATATTATATATATATATATATAATATATATATATATAATATATATATATATATATATATATATATATATATATATATATAGAGAGAGAGAGAGAGAGAGAGAGAGAGAGAGAGAAATGGGTATACTTGGTACCAAGGATCCTTGGTAGTGATGTGGACACATCTTGTCCATACATCACACCTTGAAGATGGAGCCTCACCAACTTCAAGGTGTGATGTATGGACAAGATGTGTCCACATCACTACCAAGGATCCTTGGCCCAAGTATACCCATATTCCTCTATATATATATGAGAAATATGGGTATGCTTGGTACCAAGCACAAATTTTGTGCTTGGTAGTGATGTGTCACATCCCTATCCACTCCCTACCCATGTGAATGTGATCCCAAATTTGAATGAGTGGAAGGGGATGTGACACCTCACTACCAAACATAACTTTTTGTGCTTGGTACCAAGCATACCCATATTTCTCTCTCCCTATATATATATGGGAGAAGTGTTCTTAAGGTGACGCCTTAGATAATCCTCTAAGGACGCGGCTTAAAATCACATGATTGAGCTACATTGTGGATTGTCCGCTCCGTTGAACTTGATCTATAAATTCTAAAACCCCAACACACCAAGTTTGGGGTGGACTCGCCGTTGTTTGACCCTTTCATCCACTCGTATCAATTTCCATCCACTCGTATATATAAAAGATTAATGGATATTTTTGACAAAGAGATGATTTTCTTCCTTGACAATGATGTGGCACAATCCCCACCATGTGAATAAGAGAGAATAAAATAGAAGAGAAAATTTTACATAGTGGAGATTGTGCCACATCATTGTCAAGGTGGGAATCCCCCTTCTTGTCAAGGATACCCATTAATCTGTGTGTGTGTGTGTGGGGGGGGGGGGGGGGACACTAAGGAGAACAAAGGCGCCCAATGTATAGAAATGAAGCGTTACTTCTCCAACAAATTGAAAACGATGAAGATCGGATGAAGATATCGACAGGCAAATCGGAGTTCCTCGATATAGTATCCTGTAACTTTGATTACTAAGAGAGACTATTACACATAACAAAATTACCTGCAAACAGAATTAGAACTCAGTAAAGAAATATCGCAGGACAGACCACAAGATCAAACAAATAACAAGCAACGAATTCTACGCATACACTCTCTAAGCAGTCTTGCTACCACATCAAAAGACCCATCACACTTCGAAGTTCAAACTCTGACACAGACGCCCAAATCATGCTGCGATGTATGTACACCATATCATCATCTGACCACTTTATTCAAAGTCTGATTATGTCTCGAGTACTTCCAGTAGGAAGAGTTCATCAGTGATACCCAACAGGAGCAGGCAGCTCTCTAAGCTCATGTCCCTGGTAGTGAATATCCTGCAATCCGGCCAAATAGCAATTCATGAGTAACTAGTTATCCCTTGATTCAAAACAAAACGAAAGGAAACACAGATTTGAAGACTGAGATGGCGGCATACCGAAGCAAAGTGGTTGACATCGCGGTGGTGAGCCTCATCAGCACGAACAACCATGACAACATCTCTGAGAGTCGCGTTCTGTGGCAGGCGCCAGTAGTCGATGGCGATCGCCGGAGCAGGGACGTCCTCAATGTTACCCTTGTCAAGCTCTTTAAGGAACTCAGTGTACGAATGAATGGCTTCTTCCTCGAGATAGCCCACTACACGATGAGCGAATTTGGGAGAAATGAGGTAACCCAAGAAGTAGGCGTTAAAGAAGACACCCTGAACTGCCATCACGAGGCCACGCTCGTACCAGCGGGGCTGGGAGACCTCCATGAAGGTCATGAGGTGCATACGCTCATTCTCTGCTTCTTCGAGGAGGGCACGGATCCAGCCTCCACTGTGTTCAAAGCGACGGAGAGACTTGCAGTGCAGCAGCATGCCGCCAACCATTCCGGGTACAGCCGCAACAGTTTCCAGCATCATTGCACGGCAGCCATACCTTCTCTGCACGATCAAGGGGGGAAAAAACAGGGGCGCTTTATACCACTCCAGAAAGGAGTCTGCAGCTAATCTTTGAATGTTGAACCATATACCGTGTGTACTGTAGGATTAATTTTTAGGGCATATAATGTGGGAAAAAGTTCTACGATTCTATTTAGGATATATGGTATGCGTACAAGCTGCAATTTAACCAATCAAAGTATCATTTACAATCAACAGCATCCCGATTTAGTTAGATTTGGCATACAAACTTTAAGGGCTATAAATTGAAGATAGGCGGAAAAAAGAGGTTCCAAACAGCATAGAAGAGTCAGGTTCATTCTTTTGGTTACCCAAAGATTATAATTCTTAACAGTCTCCGTAGTGTGAACTGTGAAGCCATCAGAATGACTAGACAATGAGATGATCTTCATGCATAAACCTTATGTGGAAAAGGGATAGTACCATATTTTTCTGAACATTGAGGAAAATTATAAATTTAACTGCCAAAAAATGAATATGATGCGCTCACAAAGCTAGTAATCTTGAAATAGGTGCGGATGTAAATTAACCACAAACTGATAAGTTCAAGATTAAATACTTCAAGATTAATTGGAGGTTTAATCTCCATTTTCTAAATATGATCTAACTATCTAAAAAAGAGAGTGACATCAAAGTAAATTATTAATTCAAAAAGTCTATTTCAAATATGTACACGACATGGATGAGTGGATACGAATACTGTCAGACATGTTAAGAACAAGGAATAAGGGATTAATTTAAACAACTGATAGCGGTTTATGGAGTTGAAATATAAATAGTTTGCTATATTGTATTAGTTGAAATAATCCCATAACAGATGCTCTACTAATGTTACGAATTCTATATTTATGCCCCATACTAGAGTTAACGGGTGTACGTTCTTAATAATACTTATGAAATACCATGCCATTATAAGATAATACGAACTGGTAAAAGAAAATCACAGTATGTATTAAAGAAAATCTGTCCCCAAATATGAATCATTACCTCCTTTTATAAATCGAAGTATTAATTAACTTAAACCTATGAAAATTTAAAAAGATGAAAACGGAAACAAAATTGTAAAGTTAGCTCCAGGTGAAATCAAATAATATTCAAATATATAAGAGATCTTATTTTCCTGAAGCATTCTCAACAAACTATAAGCACAACCCTTATAAGTAGCATTTTAAAAAACTTGCCCTTCCAAAACAATCATCCCTCAGAAAACTTTGAAGCAACTAAACATTTGTTAAATAAATATAACAATATTTAAATAATAAAATAATTTTAATAAGAAAACTATATATATATATATATATATATATATATATATATA